AGAACTTTGTCTTTCTTTGTGGACAAAGTCAATAAGGTTAGATCTAGCATCTCTCCCTCAGCCTCATCTCTGCCTCTCCCGACTCCAACCCGATCTGTCATCCTAGATAGCTTTGCTCCTGTTTCTTTGCCTGAGTTAACCAATCTAGTTAACTCTATGAAGACCTCTGCATGCCCCCTCGACATCTTACCCTCATCTTTGTGTAAAAGTGCTTATAAGTCCATCAGTCCCAGCGTGCTCTCTATAATTAATGCTTCTCTGGTTTCTGGTCAGGTCCCTGCTTAATAAGAATGCTGTAATCCACCCGCTTCTTAAAAAAACGAGTCTCGACCCCTCTCTCCATAGCAGCTTTAGACCCATCTCTAAACTTCCGTTCATCTCCAAGATCTTGGAAAATGTTGTGGCTAAACAACTCACAGCTGTTCTTGATGAACATAACATCTATGATAGCTTCCAGTCAGGTTTTTGTAGAGCTCAGTCTACTGAAACCGCTCTTCTTAGGGTCTCTAATGACCTTCTGACTCACAGTGATGCAGGGGACTGTTCTGTTCTGGTCCTGCTGGACCTGACTGCAGCCTTTGACACTGTTGACCATCACTTGTTACTGGAGAGGCTGAGAGACTGGGGAGGCCTATCAGGATCTGCTCTGGAGTGGTTCTCCTCTTATCTTTCTGAGCGTTCATTTTCTGTGGCCGTCTCCAAGTTTAGGTCCTCCACCACCTCTCTTACCCATGGTGTCCCACAAGGTTCTGTGCTGGGGCCTCTGCTCTTCCTCCTCTATCTGCTTCCTCTTCAGCACATCCTGAGCTCCTTCAAAGGAATCTCCTGCCATCTTTACGCAGATGACATCCAACTGTACATCTCCTTTAAGCACCATGAGATGTCTAAGCTGCAGATGTTACACACCTGCTTAGACTCTACTAAAACCTGGATGGCTGGGAGCTTTCTACAGCTGAATGAAGATAAGACAGAGATCCTCATCTGTGCCCCAAACAAGCTGGTTCCCAAAGTCAGAGACTCTCTTGGTCAGCTTGCTTCTCACACCAAACCTTCCGTCAGGAATCTTGATGTGACCTTTGACCCAACTCTCACCCTGGATTCTCATGTCAGTTCTCTTGTTCGCTCTTCCTTCTTCCATCTCAGGAACATTGCTAAGCTGAGTCCCATTCTGTCCCGCTCTGAACTTGAGACAATTATCCACACCTTCATCTCCTCACGCTTAGACTACTGTAACTCTCTTTTCACATGTCTGAGCAGAACCTCCCTGAACCGTCTACAGGTGGTTCAGAATGCCTGTGCTCAGCTTCTGACCAAGTCCTCCAAACACACCCACATCACCCCACTTCTCCTCCAGCTTCATTGGCTGCCAGTCAACTTCAGGGTTTATGTCAAGATCCTGGTTCTGGTCTATAGGGCCTTACATGGACAAGCAAGATCATACATTGGTGATCTTCTCAGTCCCTACACCCCCCGCAGGTTCCTGAGGTCCATTGATCAAAGCCTACTGGTTGTGCAGCACCAGGCTAAAGACCAAAGGTGACAGATCATTTGCTGCTGTGGCCCCCAGACTCTGGAACTCTCTCCCTCTGAGCCTGAGATCAGTGGACTCAGTGGTCTCCTTTAAAAAGCAGCTGAAAACTCACTTGTTCAGTCTGGCTTTTGTGTGACCTTCACCACTCTCTCCTTGTTCTGCTCTCCCTACCTATTCCACCGTCCTCAGGATCCACTGATTTCCCTCTTTCCTGTTCACTCAATTTCTTTACATTTTTAATCACAATTGTCTATGTTTTTGCTCATTTTAAATATATATTTTATCATTTTCTAAATTTTTTTTATATTTTTACATTTTTTTGTTTTTGTGAAGCGCTTCATGATTTTTATCTTGAGAGGCACTATAGAAAATATCTTTTCTTCTTCAAAAGTGAAGCACAGTGTTGGCAGTGTCATGCTGTACGGATGCAGCAAACTAGCAGAGATAAATTTGAATAAAACCTGCTCTGGCCCTAAGATTGGTGCAAGGGTTCAGGACAACAGTCTGAAGCACACAACCCAGAGAGCTAAGGAGTGGCTTTGGAGCTATCCTTGAGCGGTCCAGTAAGAACCCAACCTTGAATCTGACGTGATACCTCTGAAGAGATTGTTAAATAGCCTTGAAATGATGCTCCTCGTCTAACTAGATTTGAGAAGTTAAAACAACTCAAACCCCAAGAACCTTATAGAAAGTCATGTGAACATGATTTGTTAAATCATACATAACCATCAAATTCCCATCAGATTAACATCGACATCATTAAATTCAGTTAGTTACAGCTAAAAGTAGCAGCAGAGCTAGTCATCCGTTGCTCATTCAGTTCTGCGTGCAACGCTTCGTCAGAAATTCACAACATTTTTACCAGAATAAACTTGTATTGCTAAATTGACAGCATAGTAAAGGTATAGAAATCCTGTTTGCATGAACTGTGTGGTAATGTATTAATTGTAACATTTTTAAAGAAATTCCTCTATAAAAAATAGAGCAATGCTTTTACAGGCCAATGCTTAGTTTTAGACTTGAGTCAATAATACATCAAATGTTGACCTCTAAAGTAAAACGCTCCGATTTTGGGAATTCCATCTTGGGAATGGTGCATTCATGGACCAAAGATAATAAAATCAAATCAGACTTTTGGGTTTCAGATTAACTGATCTCAGATTGCACTAACCAGGCTGATTCCAATTGTATGCAAATGTTACAGAACATTTCCATCAAGTAGATCAGAAACCAACATCAATATATTTGTAATGTGAGTAGCATTAGTTCTCAAATTAAACCTATACAGTCTAAGAAAACCTCTTTTTTGATGTCATCATATGTTAGAAGGTTTCCCAAAGCAGAGATGAGCCTACTTCTCTTGGTAAACATCCTCAGCTTGTCATCTCATTCGTTGACATCTTTGAATACTTCACAACAGATGGCAGCGCTTAGCAATCTCTACAATTATTTGAAGATCACTCTTTCGCTCCTGGAGGGAATTAACCAGACCGCCACTAATCAAGGTGTTAAAAGTGCTTTTCATCCTAATTCAAATCTTATAATCTGTCTCGTCCACGATGGCAGGGCAACACATCTTTGCCAGAGTGAAATATGCATTTGATTAAAATGTGTCATTAATGAAAAATTGAAGCTATTGGCGCTGTGCTGCCTCTCTTGCTTTGCTGAGATTGTCAGTAGATGCTGACCTTCTAGAATCGAGTAATTCATCTCATCTTCCGCAACTCTCAACAGAAATATTTTTGCACTGACCAGAACAGCAGGGTGCTTGAAATTTAAAGGAGTGGAACATTGAAAAACCCCTTTTTTCTTTTTAGATCAATCACTCTGGGGCTGAACATGAAAATAGTCTCCTACACCTATCTTTTTCAATAGCTTCTGATAGAGAATAAATGATGTGACTCTAGAATTTGAAAAGCCTGACAGATCCATGAACTCATCCATTTTGGCTCATGACAGGGAAGGTCGTTGTTTTAGCGTCCAGGAAACGGCAGAGAACGTATCTGTAGGCAGATGCTTGCCAACTTGGGTCAGCCCCGAATGCTGAAGCTGGGTGGTAAAGACACAGTTAGTTCAACGTCTGAGACTGATACAATCAGAGTTACAGCGGGACCAAGGAAATAATCAGGAACACTAACTGGTTCCAGCTGGATGACTGGAGACGTTTGTGACGAGGAATGAATGGACATATGAGCGGTGAAAAGGTGAGCGGATCTTCCTACCGTGGGAAGTCCCACCGTCATGTCTAGTGGGGGATCGCTGCAGATTCACACCCGCAGCAGCTAATCTGGGTCTCCGGGTCTGCAGCCTGCTGACATCTTCCTCACTGACCCTGATGCACTTCCTGATCAGCCGCTGACCGCTTCAGCACACCTCACTGCTGAATTATAGTAACCTAACTTCCATCAGTAACGTTGTTTTAGACACCATCGCTCTAATCACCGCGTCTACATGGGTGAGTTATTCTACCCTCTCTGAGTTCTCATGACTGTAAACTTGACCTATTAAACCTAGTTTTTGGAACCAGGGTGTAAACATGTTTATTTCTGCTGTAAAGTTGGTATTTTTAACATGGGAGTCAATGAGAACTTGCTCCTCTCTGGATCCAGCACCTCTGTGTTTCGGCTTGAACCAAAACCGTAATCCGGTGGTGGCTTGTACGACATCTGAGACCAAAATGGTAACAGTGTCCAGAAAATAAACAAGTACGCTTCAAATCATCTCTTGGGGTTTAAATCCTGAGTCACTTCTCTTGATCTGACTTTTCAGAAAACATCCCGTTTTAATCCTTACCGATATAAATGTACGGTGTCATGACGACGTGAATTAAAATGGATGTTTTTCTCCCAAGGAAATCGGGACCCTCTGTGACAAAAAGAAAATAAGTTGTAAATGCCTTTGAAAAAAGGAGCATTTAACCAAATAATGTGACAATGACATCATTTCTGAGACTGCAATTGTTTTAAGATGCAGCAAAGGAAAGCATGTAATCAGCTCTGATCTACCTGAATCTGAAGGAACTCATCTCTAAACTGATGCTAATTTTGTTCCAGTGCTTCCCAAACAAGTTCTCGTCTCTCTTCTGGGTTCCCTACCCAACAGCGATGCCATATTGGGGACAAAGACAACTCTTCTCTCATTATCTCATCTATTCCTGGCAGCCGTCCTCACCACGAGAGTCATCTGTCAATCACATCTTGGGGCAGGAAGTCAGCAGGAGACCAGAATGCAGCGCACTCATCAAATCTACCAGCAGGCAGGAAGAAAACGCCTACAGAGCCCAAAGTCACTGCCAGCTGCAATTAAAGCACAGCAGCACGGTGGAGAGGAACCCGAGGCCACCTGAAGGTCAGTGAGAAAACCAATTACCAGCTTGTCATGTGCTGACAGCAAGAGCGACTGGTAGAGGCCCGACTCCTTTCTCCAACAGCTTCAACGGGACAGTTTAGCAGCAATAAAAAGCTTTAAATTAAGTAAATGGTTCAGTTTTTATTATTACTGTTTGGAACACCAAGAAAACAGGTGCAAAGCGTCATGGTGAAGATATGCACAATTCACAGCTAAGGTCATACAGCTTCATGTACACAATTCTCAAATAAGCTGGGAAAAACCCCAATAACAGAAGATTTACACAGAATATCTACAAGGACTGCTCAGTGGCAGTACTCTGTAAAAGGCAGAACTGTACAACAACACATTTCACAGTGTAGAGGCCATACGTGTCTCTAGACAGTAGTTTCATGTTTCCACAGACCAGTTTTTGAACTGGCACTGTCGCTGTTGCTTAAAGGCACCGACGGTGTGTTTTCTTTGGCCGTGCCGCCGTTTTCCGTGACCAGGTTGAGCCCGTAGGACTTGTTTTCCAGTTCCGTGCTGCTGGGCTGCTGCACTGGATCACAGTCTTTACTGGTGCTGGATAATCCCGAGGAAGGAGGCTGCTCCGTCTCTACAGCCACCACGGTCCCGTTCCCCAACAAGCTCCCGCTTCCTTTACCGGCGCAGCGGGAGCGCCGGGGCAGGCTGGTGCTGTCGCTGCTGTCCTGCTGAAGCTGGCTCTGATGGCGCTCCCTGTAAGCCAAGTAGGCCGCCCGCCGGCTGTTACGCGCAGCCATGTCGTAGTAGAGGTGTCGCCTGTGGGAGGCGCTCTGAACGCTGCCCTCCACGCTGGTGGGCACGTCGTAGGCGTACTCTCGCAGCACTGCAAGCCGGCTGCCTCTGTGCCCGCGGGTTTTGTTTTTCTGATGCCTGCCTGCGTGTCCGTTAGGTGTCGGGTTGATGTTGTTCAGCGGACGAAACTGCACCTCCAGCGGCGCCACGTGCATTTTCACTTCGTTATCCAACGAGTGCTCGGTTAGGCTGTTGTCCAAAACGGCCGTGCCGTTTGCCATCCCTGGCACCGAGGAGGACTTGCACTGAGCTGCCTCCGCGTGCAGATTGGTCAGCTTGTGGCCGTGGGTGGAGTTTCGTGCACTTGGGCCGCTTTTGTTTGTGTAAGAAGAGTCAGCGCTGCTGTTGCCACACTTCGTGGACTGCCCTTCTGCTTTGGGTTCAGTTGTCGCCATGGACGTCAGTGCCATGCCTGGCAGAGGCAGGAGGACATCCTCCTGTGCGGAGTACGCTTGTCGTCCAGAGCAACAAGCCTGTGACCAGAAGCGTCTCATGTCCTGTCTGTTGACACAGTGATACACCACCATGAACGCCCCAAGAGCCAGGGCGGTCACCCCATACAGGCAGGTAAATGCCAAGTCTACAGGGTGGTTCTGTGATATCGCCACGGCGCCAAACACCCAGAGAGCTGCATACAGCCCTAAAGCTCCCGCTGCACCCATCAGCTGGGCCGGGAAGGTGTGCTCGTTCTCCAGGGCCGACAGGGGCACAGCGTGGGGGGCAGACGCCACGGAGGATGCAACTTCCTGAGGCTGCAGGGGCTGGAGGTGGCTGCTGGGTCCGTCCGGCCCCGCCTCGCCGCTGATGGATGCCAGGTGCTGGTGCTCCTCGGTCAGCTCCTTTAGCTCATAGCAACGTTCCGGATGTCGGCGTAACTGCAGCAGGATGCTGAGGAAGTACATGCAGTCCACAAAGAAGATAAATCCAGCTGGTCCATAGAACGCCCCGATACTTGGCTCCCACGCCATCCAGCAGCTAGAAAAACAGACAACTTTTCATTCAGAAATTCAGTTTATCACACAGTTAAACAAGATTTTATGTGTCATCAGCCAAAAAAGACAGACTTAACCATCAAATGTTTTATTAAACAAAACAAGGACAAACACAACTATAAACAAATTCATAAAAATTAAGTCTAGCCATGATCCAACAGCTCACAGGAGCTACACACCATCACTTCTCCTTTTATTACTTCAGCTTATTGAAGACTGCAGATATTTGTTTTTCCTCAACTTCTCCGAGCATTCTAGAGTCTGAACTTCCAGAGGTGTCCACTCTTGGGAACCCCTCGCTATAGAACTAGTTTGGAAATAACTTTGAACCAGGACAGCTCCTGTTCTTGTCTTAAATTATCTCTGATGTCTCTCCAACACGTTGCATTACGTTAACACACACGTATGCTCCAGATCAGCAAACAAGTCCAAAACTGAAAATGTTGACTCTTTGTCTCTTGACTGCATTTCATTTTTATTGATCAGTTTCATAAACTTAAAGAGCCTTTTAATTTCTCACTATATTTAGGAACACGGGCTGAATTTGCAAACACACTCCAGATTTATCCAACAGCCAGCTACACAATCTGAACGGCTGCCATGGCAGGAAGTGGGCAAGGGGAGCTCACTGGCAGCAGCAGCAGCGTGTTGCTTGGACGTTCGTTTTATCACAGCCTTTATAATCAGAACTTAAAGGAATAAAGTTCTGCTGCACTCGTAAAAATTATACATTATTCACAAAGCAATGCGGTTTGGATGGTTGCAACTATAACTCAGGTTCTCTGTGGCCTTTAGTCTTCATTACTAAATGCTGATGTCCAGATAACACTGGTACAGAGTGGGTGTTTAAATTTGCGGTGGAGACTCACTATGGGGCGTTCATCTGGCTGCCGTAGTTCTTGATGTTAGCTGCAGCAGTGATCCCACAGACGATGATGGGAATCCCATCGCCGATTAAGTAGAACCTTAAAAAGAAATGAAAGGAAGTTTAGTCTCTTTGTTTAGGTATGACGAGTGGATGTTTCAGGCTTTCACACTGGCACCTTGTGGCTGCAACCCTTTAACTGCCTGCTCAACTATTTGCTGTAGCACATTGTAAGTCATTAACCTAAGTTACCTTAACCATGCTACTTGGTTGAGGTATGTTATGCTAAAGAAATCCACCATAATCATAAGGTTGCTGGTTCGAGTCCCGCTCAGTCTGTCGCTGTCGTTGTGTCCTTGGGCAAGACACTTAACCCACCTTGCCTGCTGGTGGTGGTCGGAGGGACTGGTGGCGCCAGTGCTCGGCAGCCTCGCTTCTGTCAGTGTGCCCCAGGGCAGCTGTGGCTACATTGTAGCTCATCCCCACCAGTGTGTGAATGTGTGTGTGAATGGGTGAATGACTGATTGTGTTGTAAAGCGCCTTGGGGGGTTCTAGGACTCTAGAAAGCGCTATAACAAATACAGGCCATATACCATTTTACCATAGATGTCACCGTGTCATGACACTGCATGCCTCTTAAGCCACTCTCCAACCAGAAAATCCCTCCTCACACATGGGCTGTTGTGTCAAAAATGTGTAAAGGTAAGTAAAAGTTTACACCATATAGTACTGATAACACTTATGCTACTTGATACAACTCTAATAAATTAGTAATACTTTTCCAAAAACATGGTCAACCAAACGATTGATTTCACAGTAGAAATACTAAGTGAATGTTTAGAAATGTAACAAGTAAAATTGATTATTTGCTATGAAATAAAAAACTTGAACTGACTTTGACATGTATGATAAATGTGTTACGATCATTTTCAAGAATGAAGATTTTGTCACTTTCTTTGTTGTCAAAATTTAGGTTGCAAATAGCATGTGGAAATTCAGTCATCACACTTTTATTTAAAATATCAACAAAATAACTTGTTTTGACACTTTTTTTTCCCTTTGAACTTTATTAGATTGTAAATCAACCTATAGTGCAAAACAAAACATCGATCTCGCCCTTTCACCAGAAAATTCTCAGGACCCTGATGGTGATCTGAGTGATGATATAGCAGAAGATCCAAATGATTAACTCTGTTTTGCAGATGAGTGTTATGAAAGCTACATGTTTTCCTACATGAAGATTCTGCCTCAACAATCAGATCTATACAAATGTCTTGAAAGAAGAGCAAAAACGGAACACAGAAAAAACAGTTCCCTTGGAGGGATCATCATCTTCGATTAAATCAAAGGTACAAGACTAATGAGGAGGCACAAGGACATTCCTGGTGCAACATTTTGAACTTTTATTGATAAAAATACAGGTCTTTCTCAAAAAATTAGCATACTGTGATAAAGTTCATTATTTCCTGTAATGTACTGATAAACATTAGACTTTCATATATATTAGATTCATTACACACAACTGAAGTAGTTCACGCCTTTTATAGTTTCTAATATTGATGATTTTGGCATACAGCTCATGAAAACCCAAAATTCCTATCTCAAAAAATTAGCATATCATGAAAAGGTTCTCTAAACGAGCTATTAACCTAATCATCTGGATCAACTAATTAACTCTAAACACCTGCAAAAGATTCCTGAGGCTTTTAAAAACTCCCAGCCTGGTTCATTACTCAAAACCGCAATCATGGGTAAGACTGCCGACCTGACTGCTGTCCAGAAGGCCATCATTGACACCCTCAAGCAAGAGGGTAAGACACAGAAAGAAATTTCTGAACGAATAGGCTGTTCCCAGAGTGCTGTATCAAGGCACGTCAGTGGGAAGTCTGTGGGAAGGAAAAAGTGTGGCAGAAAACGCTGACCGAACCCTGAGGAAGATGATGGAGAAGGACCGATTCCAAACCTTGGGGGAGCTGCGGAAGCAGTGGACTGAGTCTGGAGTAGAAGCATCCAGAGCCACCATGTACAGGCGTGTGCAGGAAATGGGCTACAGGTGCCGCATTCCCCAGGTCAAGCCACTTTTGAACCAGAAACAGCGGCAGAAGCGCCTGACCTGGGCTACAGAGAAGCAGCACTGGACTGTTTGTTGCTCAGTGGTCCAAAGTACTTTTTTCGGATGAAAGCAAATTTTGCATGTCATTCGGAAATCAAGGTGCCAGAATCTGGAGGAAGACTGGGCAGAGGAAAATGCCAAAATGCCTGAAGTCCAGTGTCAAGTACCCACAGTCAGTGATGGTCTGGGGTGCCATGTCAGCTGCTGGTGTTGGTCCACTGTGTTTTATCAAGGGCAGGGTCAATGCAGCTAGCTATCAGGAGATTTTGGAGCACTTCATGCTTTCATCTGCTGAAAAGCTTTATGAAGATGAAGATTTCATTTTTCAGCACGACCTGACACCTGCTCAAAGTGCCAAAACCACTGGTAAATGGTTTACTGACCATGGTATTACTGTGCTCAGTTGACCTGCCAACTCTCCTGACCTGAACCCCATAGAGAATCCAGGGTTTCCCCCAGCGCTTTATAAGCCTGGCGGCCCGTCAGGCTTTGTTTGGCCACCCGCCAGGCTAAGTGCCATGCCCCGCCCCCTACCCGACCCTACCGTGTCCACTGACACGAACGGCGCAACGAAACTAGAGCCCTTCATCAGCTCATACTGGTGAGAAACAGCAGCGGAACGTGTGCAAACAATGGGTGTGTCAAGAGGCAAATGGCAGGAAAAAAAACACGCCAGCCTCTTCTTAACATGTAAAAAAAAAATAAAATACTTCCTGGCAACTACAGAGTTCGTGACGCAGACATTTTTCAGAGATGGTCTCTGATCTCTGCTGCTGCTGCCCGGTGGCACCGGAAACTTTACAAAAGTGGAGATAAGCTATAATTTTAACATTTATGTGACATTTGTGCAGCGCTGAAAGCACCAAACAGAATAATTTTTGCCCTTAACATTAGTTTATGAAAGTAGTCAGACGAATGAGAGGCTGCAGCTGGGAAAATGCTCCGTCTTCTCACTCCTCTGTAAACACTTACAAACAACGTGTCTTAAAGTAACAGAAACACTCTAAAATCTCTGATTATTTTTTTAACAATTCTGTCATTTATTATATGTTTCTGAGACGAGTGAAGCTGTCACCAGCTGATGGGGAGCTAATGGGGCGGATGTTTAAGCGCATCAGGGGAAGCGAGGAACGAGAAAGGCTGGAGATCACACCAGATTCGCTGATACAGGTCTGCAGCCATCACCTTTTTGATGTGACAGCGAGACTTCCCATGTGAAGAAGGTCCGCTCACCTGTTCACAGCGCAGACAGCAGGTCATTAATTCCTCGTCATGATCTTTTATCTTCCCATCATCCTCCAGTCATCCAACTGGAACCAGTTAGTGTTCTTGATCATTCTCAGAATATGCCATGCCTGCTCTGGTGTTAAAAGTTAGTAAATTGAAGTCCTAGATCATATTTGTGCCTGTTCGACTGTTATTTTTAAGGATTTTTATTTATATGTGTGTTTTTACTACATTATGAGAAATAGAAATGCTAATAAAAACACCCAATTATACAAACAAGTGAAACTGGAAAAAATTTGAGTCTGGTGCAAAGTCCATTTATTTATTAAAGTCCAGTAATTCAACTAGACAGAGAGACAATGTAACGGCTCAGGAACCATTTGCAGGTGTTTTCTATTTGCAGTCATACAATTTAGTTGATTTGGGTCTTGTTTCATATCACAGTGACATTTGAATAATTAAAGTGCTTTTTTTTTTATTAAAAAGCTTTAGTTGACAGTAATAATAACCACGTCTAATGTTTGATTCTCTGCATCATTATTTTTAATAACAAAAATAGCTTTGAAGGCACATTTTCCCGAATTATTAAAATGTGATTAATTAAGATTAATTAATCACAAAACCTTTAATTAATTCAAGAAATGTTTTAATCGAGTCCCACCACTGCTTATTACTTTTTAACGGGGCAACGACGGTACTGGAAACAAATTTACAGGAAGTGGCATCCTGACCAGTCGTAAGCTTGCTGTCTCCGTCTTTCTCGTCGGAGAGCCCTTGCACCGAAGCATAATTTTGCAATGGTCTTTTGTCTGTTCTTCCCAAGCACATCACTCCTGTTCTTAATTCTCTACACTGGTTACCAGTAAACTACAGAATTGATTTCAAAGTGCTCCTACTAGTTTATAAATCACTCAATGGCATGGGGCCTAAGTACATGTCGGATCTCCTTCCTGTACATACACCCAGCAGGGTTCTGAGATCCTTAGGAAGCTGTCAGCTGGTAGAACCTTGGGTCAGAACCAAACAGGGTGCAGCTGCTTTTAGCTATTATGCTGCACACAGATGGAATCAGCTTCCTGATTACCTCAAATGTGCCCCAACTCTAGAAAAATTTAAATCAAAATATATAACCATCATCTTTTAATCAGCCTTTGAATAAATGTTCTTATGCTGCACCTTCTGAACTGTATTCACTCACCGTTTAACTTTGTTTTTTTTTCATTTTAAATCACATTGATTTTAATGGTCTTGTATTTCTTGCTAATCGGAAAGCACACTGAATTGCCTCTGTGTATGACATGTGCTTTATTAATAAAGCTGCCTCACCGTGCATAATGTCGTTGCATGTCTCCGTACCGACGCTACACAGCTGAAATCTCTCCCAGCCTTCATTAGTGTTGATTCATCAGTAAATTACAAAACATCAGCTGTGTTCATGATCTAAAACCTGCAGGAAACGGGCTGGAAGCAGACTGCAGCGCCAGGTGTGTCAGCTCAATTTTTTAAAGTCCAACAGGTGGCGGTCTGCCAATCTGAAGTTGCAAGTGCGGTATTCTGGCCACAGAGAGCAGTGGGGGTCTGAGTGACATTTCATTAACCCTGTAAACGATCATTTTAGCACATACTGGCTCATGGAAATTATTTTAAAGTATGAAAAATTTGCATAGTATCCCTTTAACAAATAAGAGTATCAGGAGGGACATTTCAGGTATTTAGTAAAAAAAGATGTCCTTTAAGTTCTTTAGATTAAAAGCCTCTTACTGCATCTAGTTCAATGCTAGGTAATAATAGATGATAATCGGACACTTCAACAAAGACAAAGTGACAAATGCCAAACAGCAGCTCTAGAGCAGAAGTGATGAAATCCAACCTGAGCATCGGCCTGGGAGGCGGCGGCGGCTCATCCAGCTCCTCGTAGCATTTAGCTTTGCGTGTTACCTGCTTGTATATGTTGCGTGCAGTCACTCCAATCCACAGAGCAGTGGCCAGAGTGGAGTAATGCATCAAAATACCCACCTAAAAAAAGACATTGGACTGTAATGTTATATTATGAACACATAAATTTGAAAACAAATACATAATTGATAAGTATCAGATCTGTAAGTCAGCTCCCGATCTCTAATGTTGACCTACTTTCTATGGTTTTGTATGTACTCTAACACTGATGGTGGCAGTGTGTGAGTGTCTGTTTACTCACAGCCTGGCAGACACTTGGGTTACGTGTCTGATTGATGCCGCCCATAAAGACACCACAGGAGAGGGAGATGTGGAAGCAGAGGTTAACCAGCATATGCCAAAACTTGCGGCTCACACGTACAGACCTGCAGAGAAACATCGCAAAATGGACACATTGGCATCGCTTATTTTAAACACGATGTGTTTTATTACTCTTTCCTACCTGTGATGGTAAATGTAGCTAATAATGATGGTGAGCAAGCACAGGAGCAGTATGATGCTAGTTGTGTAGATGACTGGATGCAGCGGCTGGACGCTTGGAGAAAACTGATCAGCGCTGCTCAGGTCCTACAACAAAAATCCAGACACTTAAAATGTTTGTTTTGTTGTTGGCAACACTTCCTAACAGCCATTGGAGTTTAACAAAAAGATATCAGTCTGTTTCTTTCATACAATCAAATAAAAATGAACAATAAGGATCAGGGGAAGCACCGGGTACCATGAGCAAACCGTAGTTTCCCAGAGAGTCGCAGGATATGGTGGTGAAGTTGTTGTGATGCTCTAGGATGCGGCAGCCCTCGCTCCTCCACCCGCCCTGACCCCCAGCCAGGCTGGAGTTCCAGCAGGCGGACACGGCGTCCGAGCCGTGTGCAAAGCGCCGCAGGGTGATGTTAATGGGGGACTTCAAGACACGTAGTGACACACCCTCTGATGAGTTAACACAAGAACGTTGTGGCTTTTTAGGGTTTTAAAGTTTGTCGGATTCATGTCATTACTCTGCTCAGAAATGATAGAAAATGCACACATTTCACTTTTCTAGTATATTACACCTCCCAATTTACAAACTGTAACACTTACTGATCCTCGTCATGACGACAGGAGTGGCCACAGCCATCCTCTCCCCTCCATCGGCCAGCAGGGAGGTGTTAGTGGAGGGGAAAAACTTGCCGTTACGGAAGCCCAGCAGGTGGAGTTTGTAGACTGTATCGTCTTTCAGTCCGGGAAGACCGGCCTGGCTGAAAAGAGACTGAGGAAGCTGCAAAGATGCCTCCACCACGGTGCTCTGGAAGGACAGGATGACAGAATCAAAATCCAGACAAATTCCAACACCGGCGTAACAAACACTAAAGCTCATCCTAATGACCTTGTGGAGGATGGTGGAGAAAGAGCTGGTGTTGTTGCATTTGAATGTGAGCTGGCGATCCTGACTGGGAGTTCGCTCAGGGGTGGGCCTCTGGAACAAAATGCAGGTCACGCTGTTCCAGTCGTTGGCTCTGATGGCTTGAGCCTCCAGCGCGATGTTGGGGGATGTCTGGGAGGAAACCAAGAGAGTGAAATGTGTGTATCCATAAAACTAAACTCAAACACAACCTTGTGCTGTTGACGGGACTAACCAGGGAGAAGGCCTGAGCTGTGGCCAAGCGGTAGGCAGCGATCTTCTGCAGACAGGCAATGATCCGGGAGCAGGCCATGGCTTCACGCTGAGCCATCCACAGCACTCTCTCGTCGGCTAGCATCAGGTTACTCGCCATGCTCACCATCACCTCGCCTAACTGGGAAACAAAAGATTTTAGCCCTTCCTTTCTAATCAGGCTGAGTGATAAATTTTCCAAAAGTTATTGGTCACTCCAAGAAATGACGATGGGTGATATGTCCTCGCAGGTGATTAGACGTTTTCTAGGCCTGACAAACACCGCATGTAGAAATCCACCAATCACAATCAACCTTACTCAGTTTACAGAAGCAGACCACGACGGTTCCTCGTGCGTGAGATTGTTGCTTTAGGGATGTCACTGGCTGCTTGTTGTGTCAGTGGACAATAGACTGTGGCACACTTGATTCCAGCTACGGGTAAGAATAGGGGACGGTACTTTTGGCCAATAGTTAAAGACTTTGCACTTAGCAGGAAGGGTAACCCTTCCCTTGATGGATCAGGTAACATGGCGCTCAAACGTTTGAAGCAAATATGAGAATGCTAATGAAGGTTATGATTAGAAAGAGATGCGTCGAATGGAAATGTGTAATGCTTCCAGCGGTATTTTATGTTGAATTGTGGATGTAAGACTTGTTGTGGACCAACTGTTTCACTGGACCTTTGTGGATGTAAAAAGACCACTTTTGCTTGAGTTGGCTCCTCTCTGTTAACGATACAAGGCTTTGAACAGTGAGATGTTATTTTGAATTTCTGAGTGGTCTGCCAAATGCTTACTGTGTCTACAGTTATGGTTGTATCCTTAATTCACACAATGACTGGAATCACAACAATCCTCGCTTTCCAACTAGATGCAATATACATGTGTACATAGAAAGAGTGATGCAAAAAATGAAGATGCTAATATGACTTGAAAGTGTGTAATGTCCCATCTGCAAGACCAATCCATAAAAAAAAATCGCCTACAACAAAATGATTGGCAAAGAGTTTGCAGTATCGTCAGTGGTCAATACATTTGTCCAATCGCTCAACCTTAATCTGGAAAAAAAAAAATCAGGAAACAAGTTTAAAACCTCTAGAAAAGAGCTGAGCTACACTTCATTTCTAAAGACTATCGTGACTCAGCTGAGTCAAGATGAATCCAAAATGATTACATTTCAGGTTTAAGATGTCAAATTTAGACTTTATCCATTGCTTTAAAACTATTTGATAAAACTTTAATTTTTTTATTATTATGAGCTCTTTTCCTAAAATATACACTTTTGAGGACATCAGCAACCAGACAGACGCAATCCATCTAGACAAAAATAAAGCCCGAGGGTCTGAGAGAACTTACATCCTTAAACCTTTCAACAAACTTCCCAAACTTCTCGATCATCTCAGCCACAAAGATGATGTCCATCTTGTCTGAGAAATTAGCCGCGTCGATGGTGTAGAGCAGCAGGCGCCGCGCTATGGTCACAACGTTGCTCTCATTTAGAGGCATCTAGATGAAAGGTAAGGACACATTGTAAGATGCTTTTGGACCATCGAGGAATGAGACACTAGATGATGGTTATGAGTTTGATACAGACCTGGTTGATGACGAAGAGAAATCTAGTGGCATCTTTCTGGAACTGGCAGTGAGAGTAGTCCTCCTCGGCCCACAGCCCCTCCCGGCTGCAGTAACGCCAGGCCTGGCGTCCCTCAGCGGAGCTGCCCGAGTAGGCGCCAGCGCTGGATGGCAGCCTGTTGCAGGGGAGGTAGGCTCTGATCCCTGCTAGAGTGCGAGGCCATCTGGACAATTTCAGAAAGTCTCCTTTAATTACTCCAGATTTTTTTTTTAATTTATTTATTTATTTAATTTTACTGATATTTCTAATATTTGCAGGTCCTTTAAAATTCATTCAATCCTTTGTTTTCTCCCACAGAAATATTTTCCCCCCAGTCTTCACTTTTCTGTACAACGTATTTTTTAATGTAACCACATTAACTGTGTGTGAAAATAAAAAGAATGAATTAGACTATTCGGGGCATTTATTTGCGGCTTCCACGTTTAACCACAAGGTGGTGCTGCAGGCACAATGACAAAACTCCATTAAAACAACACACTTTTCTTCCAGTCGATCATTTTAATAGAATAGTTTGTTTAAAACAAACAACAACATAAAACAGATTACCGGTAGCCCAACAAGAATTTGATCCAGTAATTAAGTATGAAGTTTTCTATTAGAAAGATGCCACAAAAGACACCTCGCACATTTTATTCTGTTTCTGATTTGTTGTTATTTAGAGAAACTATTTTAAGATAAAAACCTATTTGAACTTTTTAGCTATTAAATGCTTAAAATGATGTTTAAGGTTTTACTACACTTAAGTTATGAGAAGTTTTCAAAAACTAGTGCGTTGACTTGGAGTCTTTTTCTCCATGTACCTGAACTCTCCCTTGTTGTTGGACACACGATCAGGAGCGCAGTACTTGGCAGAACTTTGCAGCACCACAATGTGGACTGTCCTGGTGGTGTTGCCCCTGCTGGTTCGTACCCGACACTCCCAGTTACCCGTAAAACCAGGCTGGATGTTTGAGATGGTCAGGGCGCTGACAGAAAACATGGAACGCAAAACATTTTATTAATTAGAGTTAACACTTAATCAGCTGCACAGATGAACTCAGCAGAGCCACATGTATGTCACACCTCGCGATCAAGGAGCAGTTCTGCACAATGCGCTTTTCTATGAAGATGCCTTGAGTGGCATCGGACTTGACCATGCGTCCATTTTGGTACCAGAGCACCTGCATGTCATCTGCCACAAGAGAGGCCTGGCACTGAAACGGCAAGCTGTCCCCCTGGAAGACAACCTGGCGCTGGGATGGAGTGAGCTGGAAGGAGGGCAGCTCCAGTGGAGCATCTGGAGAAAAGATTTACGTATTTAAAACAAGTAAAATAGGCTCAAATGTGTCCTGATTTCTTTGCTGTTTTGTCATTCAAGTCAGGCATTCCATGCAAATCTATGCCATGTGTTGTATAATCCCAACAGGAGACGAGTGCCAAACTGATAAGACATGAGCAAGTACAAACAAAGGCAGCACTGGCCTGGGCAGCCCTTGTCTTATCTCGGCGTGTCACTGCAGAAGCCCCCTGTTCCCCAAACAGGCTACACTGATACCACAACAGAAACATTAAAGAGACAGCACACCCTTTGGGCAGGAAAACCGTTTCTGCCCACAGAGCAAAATGCGCCTCAAAAATGGTGAATTTAAATGCTAAAGTATCACCAGCTTCTGGTGGATACAATATTTTCTATTCCTACCGCAGGTGAGGAGCTCCGGCCTGACGGAGGTTATGAGCTGACCCTGGAGGGACTGAGGGTATGAGCACTTTGTGTTTTTCACAGCAATGTTTCGCTCTTTGATCCAGCGCAGCAGCCACAGAAGGTTGCAGTCACAAAGCAGGTACGGGGTTTGGAACTCCCTGGAGATGGAACATAAACTTGACTGATGCACTGTTTTGAGTAATATATAAACAGTGATTTGATTGTTTTCATAAAAGTACGACTGAAGCTTCCCATCTACTCGGTGTACTTACAATGCCTTTAAAGACTGTAGCCTGTCAAATGTTCCTTGGGCCAAAGACGAGAACAAGTTTCCCGAAACGTTTCTGTGGGAATATGAAAGAGAAACAAACAAAAAAAGAGGATGAAGTATGAACCAGGTTCATTCAGATTCCAGACTGACCATCTTGCTCAAATCTCTAAACTGATATTTGTGCTCAATTAACTCATTTAGAAAACAGTTTTCAGCTCATGAATGCATCATCAATGAGTTGTATAGTTGTGTTAGTAATACCATGCCTTTAGTTTGGAAGAGTAAAACCTAAAACTATCAATTTCTTACATCTATAGTATGTTAAAAATGGAGATCAGAGGAACCTCTGAGGAAGCTGGACTTTCTACAGAGGTATCTTTACATAGACCTTTGTCTATGCTACCTTAACCCTACCCAAACACCAAACTCTTCACACCGGTTTGCCACCTGGCTTCAATCAAACCGGACTTTGGTGGCTTCCACTATGTTTCGTTCTTCCATTTTTTGAAGTCCTTCCGGAGGTCAGAAGGACTTCCATGAAGAAGGGCTCCTTATTCATTGAGGTCTCAAATTTCTCTTTGTCTGGCTCTTAGAACAAATTTGTTGTGTTGAGTCCGACTCCTTGGTTCTCAACCAGAAATGGTCCCTAGGGGTTGTGGGTCTTTGCGTTAAATGGCAGCGTTTAAGTATCGTTGTGTCTTGTTCACTGGGCATGGTAGGATGGAGTGAGACATGGACCAATGGACAGGGGCTTTGTCAACAGTAATGAGGCCTTCGCTTTAGTTTGTTGTATTGAAGAAGGAGCTGAACCAAATACCAAAGATTTGCCAAAGCCAAGGGGTCCTGGTCATGGGATTTGAATCACGATTGAAAGAATGGGCAACATGAGTTTCCTGAGTTGAGTAGCTGGGATTCTCCTTCAAGATAAGGTACGGTTAAAGGTTGGTGAAAAGGCAAAAATGTACCAATGACAAAACTCCAGACAAAAACCGAAATCAATTTCCCCAATGTCAGTATATTCAACGTTTAAAAAAGAATTGAAAGGTGTGTAGCGTTATCAAGGTTCTCTAATTTGTGGCAAAGGTCACATTTATCCAGCTGGGTCAAACAGTAACTTTCAAGTCCACAGATTAACCCAGGAGTCATGATGTCTGGAAGAACATCACCACTGTCTGCTGCTGTTCCGTCCCAGAAGAAGGACACTTCAAGTTCACGATAATAATTAAATAATAATATTAATAAACTCTTTGATTTTATTACTGTTTATTATAATCATCATAAATAATCACTTGGTTCAGCATAAATGTATTTTAATTACATGAAATGAATTATTATGCTTTGGGTATAATAATGATTACTATGATTATGGTTGATGACAGTAATGTGTGCTCGGCAAATCAGAAGGTCAGCTCCATCTTATCCATCTAACACAGAGTTTATCCAGAGAAAAGGGTACTTGCCATCACATGTTTTTGACGCATGACCAAAGCTTTCTTGCTGAGAGGGGGTGTGTTCTGAGAGCTTTGTAAACTAGCCTGCAACAGCTTTCACATCAGTTCTTGAACCAACACCATCCTGAGGAGACGGGAACGGCCGCCCTGATCCTCTGCCAAGCTGTTCTGTCACGCTGATCAGAATAGCTAAGAATAAACGTAAACTGTAACCAGCTGACGAAAAACTCCTTCCAGAAGTTATTGATTTCTGAGTTAAGGTAAGACGAGAAACTCCTTCAGAGTATGGACTTGTAGACACAAATAGTTCCACCAGTCGAGTGACCCAAGGAGACATCTCAGGACCGATTTGGTCGTGCCAGAGGTTTTTCTACCAACCTCGTGCCTGGAGGAAACATCTCCACCTGGACACTTCGGATCCAAAAGGGGGTCTTCTGTTTGGGTGAGGTAGACTTCGACAGATTGTGTTTGATGCTGTTCCCCAAGTAAACAACCCAGGTAGCTGCAAAACATCATTTCCAGCCCAGAACGCTTTCCTCTCTCTGAAAGAAATCTTCTGAGAATTCCATTCACGCATCCAAACTCGTATTTCCAATTTAGCTTTCATCCAGCCTCAGGTTTGCCTTTTTAAAACAAGTTTAATGTCAAAGCTGTTAAAAATTGTCATTAAATTGTCATCCATGAATTGTCATTTATAATTGTCGTTCAAATCGTAAAGTTTAAAAATTGTTAGTAATAAATTCTTCATTTTTAAACTTGCCTCATTCTTGAAATGAAACACAGAAAGGTATAATTATTTCTGGTTATTGAAAAGCAAAGATTCCTAGCTTCTGATTCAAAAATAAACGTTTGCTATTACATTTTATTTTCTTAAATTAAACATTAATCTTTGGATTAAAAATAGACCAAACAGGTTGGTGCATGAACTTAGATCGATTATATAAGTATCCGAGATATTTATATATGATCTAAGCTTCATAGATTAATCTGCTTGGTCCTTCTCAGAATCTAAAACTGAAAAGCAACAGTTTTGATTCTAGTATGTAGATTAATCCTACAGATGTGTATAAGTTCACGACCCTTTAAGATGCTGTACAACAAACTGGATGCGTGGAGCCACGTAACTAGTCCATGTGTAGTCATGTGACTCCACCCACTCAGTAGGGAACAAGAAGAGAAAAATGTCTAGGTAACAGAGGACAAGTCAAATGTTGAAGCAGCCACAGCCCGTCTAGTGGACAACCCTTTGTTTTTGTGCACGGAGGTAGTTAAGGTCCGTACTTTGTTAGTGATGTGAACTGCTCAATATATTGTGATATTGATATGAGGCCACATCTCCCAGCTCTAGGGGAGGTGCTCCTACATTTGTGAGGAGCTTGGAGTAGAGCCACCCGTTCTGTTCATCAAAAGGAATCAGTTTGAGCATCTGATTAGGATGGCACCTAGCCACTTCCCTCTGGAGGTATTCCAGTGTATCCCACTGGGAGTAAACCCCAAGGCAGACCCAGAACTCCCCAGAGGCTTCTTGGAGCATCTTCCTGGATCTGTTACTCTCCTTTGATAATTGAAAGAAAATGATTTGATGTGTCTTCTGCTTACCTCATGATCTTTTATTTGTTGTGCCAGTGACCAACTAAAATAGTGACAATCAGTCGGTGCACGTTTATGTTGATGTTTAGGAGCTGTAACGTGTTTTGTACAAGAACCCTGTAATTCTTTTTCACGTAGGTTTTGTTAGTGCAAATACCTCATCATATACAATACTTGTAGATTTTCAGTGACGGGGAAAGCTTCGTAAGTTGTTACAAAAAAAAAAAATCAAGAATTTTGACTGAGCCACACAATGAAATTATTATTTAGAATAAAAACTGATATGGGTTAAAGCCTCACATAAATCAGAACAGTGCCAGTAAATAGTGGCTGGTGCATCACAAAAAGACTTACAGTCGGATCAAACTGCCAAGGCCCTTGAAGATGTCTCCATTAAGGCAACCAATGCTGTTGTTGGACAGGTCTCTGCAACACACAAAAAGCCCAACAAAGTCGGTTTATAATTTTTGTAAGGATCAGGAAAGTTGTCCAGCAAAATAAAATATGCAAGTCCTGTTTTTTTTTTTAGATAAAGGGATCCAAAACTTAAGGTTGGAAATGAAAAGACAGAAGGTTTAAAATAAGAAAAAGCCCAAGTTTAACAGGCAGGTTGAGGCAAAGACCTTAAAAAATTAGCTGACAGGTTTACAACTTTCAAGATGGTATTAGATAATGTCTGTGTGGGCCTGTAGGCGATCAGACACATGAAAGGCAGAGCAACACTGTGGGAGGTGATTAATCACCTATGATTACTGTCAAATGCATCAAAAAGTGTCTGCTTCTACTCTGGATGTGACCTGACATGATGCCTCTGGAAAACATCAGAGGGAAGTGTCCAACATGCCAAATGCTTTCAGAAGAAATTATGTATAATTTCAGGGTTAAACACATAAAATGACGGATGCTGCCACTGCCAGTTACTCTATGCACCAACATTTAAAAAGTGCCATGAAAGACCAAATACGTATTAGAGGCTCTACAGTAACATTAGCACACCGACTTCCTAACCAGTCCTCAGTGTAGGGACGTGACAATTAGCAACTCCACCACAAAGCAGAACTCCTCCAGGCTTGTGTTATTCGTGGAGATAAAACATCAACATTGCAAAGCAGAGTCAGTGGTAGAGTCTTGTTGCTGTCAGCCAATCAAAGGAGATGTCCAGTTATCAGGAAATAAGACTCCAAATCCTGCCGTCTGGAGCTACTTTCAATTTTGTATTAACCATTGGTAGCATAAATTTAAAGCTTAAACATGATGTATAACAAATAAATAAAATAAATAATAAATTAAAAGAATCTGAAAAAGATTTTACTTAAATAAATAAATAAACAAACAAACAAAAATATGTATTTTTAAAGTGTAAAATACCAACTCAAGGTTACTTTAGTTATGTTTTACCGTCAGCAAATGGTAGGAACTGCTGAGGGCAGGGACATAAGAAAAATAAATACTAAAGTGTCCATTGATCAACTGCTACAAGTTTAGTGACCCAAGTTTCCATTTCACGTACTGCAAAATACTCATGCCTTTGTTTCATGATGCTGCTTCAAATGTGCGATGAGGTTGGATGTATTAAACTTTCCCGGTTCAGTTCCTTCATGGGAAACTTGAGCATAGCAAGCGTAGCACTGAGCCACTTTAACAGGAAATACTGCCACACAACCGACATTGCTCTTGCTCCTTGCTACTTTGCTGCACTGTTCTGATCATGTGGGCTTTGCATGCTGGACCTGGGCGCTGCTGGATAGAATTGCTGGAATGGCACTTGAAGCAGAACGTACTGCTAATACCAGAGATTTTTGGTTACTTTTGTCCGATTTAATCTGATTACAGCTTTTGGGCCGATATCCGATATCAATATCAGTACAGGACATCCCTAATTAAAATCATAGAAATAAATGAATAAAATTGCAAAATAATTGTTTGGGACATTTCAGATTTTTCATACTTTTGTTAAATTAGGATCTTAGTAATATTTGTAAACTTCAGACAGTAATTATAACCCCAGCTTTCCAACAGATGTGTAAGCGGTGCGTAATGATAAATACATTTTTCATAAGACCTCAGTGATGTATCTCTTCCTATTGGGGGTGTTTCAGACATGCATCAGCAGTGTTCCATGTAGCTTGTCCCGCAAAGTCACAAAATCACCATCTGAACGGCTAAGATCGACGTGTTCTGGAAGCATAGTGTGAAAAGTGTTTATTTGAAGAGAAAATTTAGCAAAGCGATGCAACATTACAAGCCACTTTTTTTGTATTATGCTTTGTGGGCATCAAGCAATAAGTACGCTTCCATTTGAAAGCCAGAGTAAGTATCACAAGTTTCTTTACAGGGTGCTTTGTGGGATGGAAGCTGAAAAGATTGGGGACTTTCATGTCATCATTTATGATTAGATAACCGTGGTATTGTAACACTCGCCTAACAACAACTAATCCAAATGCAAATACCAATGCTAATGTCTACAACCAATTTGTTTCATCATTCCTCAATGCCTTGCGAGCTCAAAAACATGTCTGCCCCTATACCTCAAAAGTTTTGAAAACAGCTAAGATTGTGTGAATTAAAACACAGTTTTGGAGTTTTTAACTGTGTGTTCATGTAGTGGAGATAATTTGTAACATCTTCAGGGCAACATATCTTATATTCGGGGTTCCTTTTAAATTTCAACAGGTGGTGGTATTGATGAATACAATATTTAGTAGTAGTCTTCTTATTACTGAATTTAGATCCAATAAATATCATTTCTAGCCAGTATAGTATTAAAGCTTCCAGAGCAATATCTTTTGACTAAACTATTACCTTTGACCTACGATTAAGTTTTAGTGCCTTGTCAGCCATAATGAATATCCTTTGGGAGTTAACTAATCCTTGCCAAGACAAGAACATGAGTGTAGGAGAAAAGAGGCATTATTTCAACTCAACCCACCAGTACAGTGTTATGCTACGATGCATGAGGAATGTGATCCCGACACAAAGTAATACCTGGAAAACGACTGGCAGTCATATGTCAATTCCATGCATTTATCTAATTATTGGTGTTTGTTCTTAAGGCACAAGCCAGAAGGAGGAATTCGGTGTGTGAGGTTATTAGTTCCACTTGAAAGAGAAGAAATAACAGTCTTTTGCAGGCTTGCCAAATCGAATGTGTATTGTGTGCCATGGGAAGGATATTACAGCAGAAGCAAAGGGGTGAAGGGAAGAACCCTTTCTTTTAGCTCAAATCTACGATCGTCATTTCATTTTACTGACTACTACGGGAGGGTTAATGTTCTGAGTCACTCCATTAAGAACATTTGTGATTATAATGACTAAAATTTAAAATGATTTCACTTTCTCTGAATGAGCTGAGCCACGAACAAGAAGCCATGAAGCAACGTAACAGTATAGAGGAAGTTTCAGTACAGCACACTGGTTGCTATGTATGTCAAGCAGAAGCCATTTTTAGTATAAAGAGCTTTAGTTTAAGCAGCAACTGTTCAGCTGTTGGAGGAATGCTGGGATCAGACGAATCCACTGTGTTGGGCAACCTGAAACTAACGGTGGCCAAAAATACATTCAGACATCTCAAATGCTGGGAAATGCTTTTAGTAAGCTAACAGTTCACTAAGGTAAGTAGTACAGATGAAGAATTTGACATGCTTTACATGTCTGCGTGCGGAAAGCTGTCAATGTGCCTGTGCTTTTACTCATATATGTGGATCAGCTGCACAGGAGGACTGGACTAATGAGATTACAGTTTAATACTCAATTCCTTTCATTGGCAATGATGAGATGGTTTTTCAGTCATCGTTTGGGAAAAAAATGCTAAAAAATAACTAGTTTCAGTGATTCTAATGTTTGTTTTCGTCTAAATGTCAACAACAAGAACCCTCTTGTGAAACAACTACAGACGTTTTACTCCTTGTGGTTAGACTTGCTTAAGTTTTGTTTGCCATGTCTATGGTGTCGCCCTTTGACTGGCAGTTTTATAGTTGCAGGTGTGTCTTTAGTGCAGTCAATGGTGTTTCAGAATTCTGGCCAAAGCTTTTGCAGCTGTAACAGACAGACCCTCAAAGACAGGTACAACTCAGGTTGTACCTGGGAACTGGGAAATGCTTTTTGTAAGCCAACAGTTCACTAAGGTAAGTAGTACAGATTAAGAATTTGACATGCTTTACATGTCTGCGTGATTGATGAATACAATATTTTGTAATAGTCTTCTTATTACTGAATTTATATCCAATAAATATCATTTCTAGCCAGTATAATATTAAAGCTTCCAGAGCTCCCAGGTAAAGACTCAACTCAGTCTTTACTGGTATAGCACCTTACAAAAAAAAATCAAACTTCACAATAGCCCCATGGTAAGGAATGGGGGGGGGGGGGGGGGGGGGGGGGGGGGGATGGGCAACTGTCTAAATTGCAATGTGAAATAACTGGACCTTCAACACATGACTTGATTAGTACTCTAAATTATGCCACACTCCTGCCATCTTGTTGACAATCTGCACTGCTTAAACTACGTTTTGTAAATGTTAAAGGTTTTGTCTGTACAATTTTTATAAAGGTAAGAGCAAGTTGCCACAGGAGGGCAGAGCGAGAAGAAACGAAAACGGAGTTCACCTGACGGCCTGTTATGGCTGTGTTGTGTCTTCGATTTAGGGCAGCGGTTCCCAAACTTATTTAGCCGCGCACCCCCTTCTATGTCCTGATTATGTCGACGCACCCCCCAGCCCCCACACCAGTGCGTAGCTATACATAAATAAATAAATAAATAAATATATATATAATATTTAGAGTGCCCAGGTAACACACGAACAAGGCAATTTAACGACTTCTCTTAAAGTAGGATCATTTAACCTGTGGCCAGAAGTACGCTCTCTCCTTCGTTCTGCTCTGATGTAAACCTGAACTGGTCACGTGCTTAAATGCTCTGACGGTGCCATGGGTGGCTCCAGGAAATTTTACCAGCAGTTGCCGTACAGTTGCTCAGTCAGTGTTTGGGGTTGCTGCCCCCGTCGGCACGTACTCGAGGAAGGTGGGGGGGGGGGGGACTTCCTAAATATGGCACAACACGAAATTCCATGGGCAAGAAAATGAAGTAAAGAAAAAGGTGAACATTGTTATCCTGCCTTTCATTATCACTGTTACATGACAATGCCACACAAACCACATTGGGATCCATTTTTCCAGGTGTTATGTCAGAACACCTAGCTTGTAGCTAACAATAACATCAGATTCTGCCAACAAAATGGCTCTAAAACAATTCATATGTAAATACTTTGCATATTCAGTGTTTCCCTTACATAGGCGTAGCCATGGCGGCCCGCCACGGCTGAAATCCCAGCGCCATGCCTACAAGATCCCGTTTTATAGATTAAAAAAAAAAAAAATTTTTTTGCGCTGTTTCCCGAAGAAGCAGCGAGAACTACTCTGTTGTTGCT